GACACTGCTGGACTCGCCCACGTGAAGTCGGAGCTGCAGAAGAGACACACGTGCACAGACCTGGGTGAACTGCGCAGCTACCTTGGCTTGCAGATCACCCGGGACAGAGCACGCCGCACCATTACCTTGACCCAGTCACACATGGTGCAGCAGGTCCTTCAGCGCTTCGGCTTCACGTACTCCTCGCCTCAGGCCACTCCTCTGTCTACTCGCCACTCGCTCTCAGCTCTGCCTTCGGATGAGTCCGTAGAGTCGAGTGGCCCATACCCAGAGCTTGTTGGCTGCCTCATGTACCTGATGACCTGCACACGACCTGACCTTGCATACCCTCTTAGCATTCTTGCATGCTATGTTGCTCCTGGGAGACACAGACCAGAGCACATGGCTGCAGCGAAGAGGGTGTTGCGCTACTTGTGCAGTATGTCGGGCATGGGGCTAGTGCTTGGAGGGCGGAGTCCAGTGGTCCTCACTGGGCACGCGGACGCTTCTTGGGCTAACGACCCGGCTGCGCAGCGGTCGTCACAGGGTTACACCTTCAGTCTTGGTTCCGGCTCTGTTTCGTGGCGGGCTACTCGCTCGTCTTCTGTTCTCGGCTCCAGTTGTGAGGCTGAGATCTACGCCGGGGCCATGGCTGCACAGGAGCTTCGCTGGCTCACCTACCTGCTGATTGACCTAGGAGAGCCGCCTCGTTCTCCTCCAGTGCTGTACGTAGACAACAAGGCCATGCTGGCCTTGTGTCGGGAGCAGCGCCTGGAGCACAGAACGAAGCACATTGCTCTCCGCTACTTTCTTGCTGGTGAGTTGCAGCAGCGTGGTCAGTTGCGACTTGCGTACGTGGCCTCTGAGGCCAACACTGCTGATGTTTTCACCAAGGCACTTCCGCCTTGTGATCATCAGCGCTTCTGCACTCAGCTGGGTCTTGTGCCTGTCTTGCCTCACTTGCTCACCCCTTGACCTTGCTTGTACTCTTACATATATATATACCTGCTCTTGCTTGTTTAGCCTTATATATATGTGTACTCCTGCATGTGAACTGGCCTTGTTGCCTTGACCTTGTGCTCGGACTGTGTGGTGACGTTGTGATCCACCCTGAGCTTTGTCTGCTTTGCTTGACTGGTCTTGTGACCCCTTGTTCTCCCCCACTTTGCCTATGGGGGTGTGTCAAAATATAATATTGTGTAGGCTATAGTGGGGTAGCCTGTATGGGGTACACATTTCTAGGGTTTTATATTTGTATCACTTCCATTCCTTAGTCATCCCTTTCTCGTTCTACTTTCCTCATGTCGGTGTCGCCACTGCTGCTGGAGTTGTCGGTGCTGCAGTCGCTGCGGTCGCTGCTGCTGCGGTGGCGAACCCTGGTTGGCTTGTCAGAAAAGCCTCGAGTCGACGAAGCGTCGCCTGCGTCTGCTCCATGTCGGTGCGGAGGCTCGCGATGTCGCTCGTAGTCGCGTAGTTATCGCCTTGGCCCTCCATGCCTGACATCAATGCGTCCGAAAAACCGAATCGAGGGGGAGCGAAAAACACGGAACCGGTTTTACGTACCCGAAATCGATGTTTGACTGCGTCGCCCCCGGGGTTTTTGAAGACTGGTTTTCAACGGTCGAAAGAACTTCGCGTGTAAACGAGCTCTGATTACCAAGTGTGAGGATCTAGGATCGAGCTCAGAAAAGAGAATTGTAATTGAATGATCACCTGAGTACAACACGAGGCTATATATAGGCTGGACACAAGGCCCCGTAACCAGGTGTTACGCGAAGGTTCCGCGGGTCGCGTAGCGTCCCGAACAGATCCTTACCGAATTCGGTAGAAGGCAATTCGGTGGCAACCGAAAAGGCCAGAATTCGGTGCACGTAACCTAGCTCGGTGCTATAACTATAATAAAATATAGGAAAGCACCTAGCCTAGGAAATCAAGCAATTCATGCATGCATATGATTATCCTATGCTAGAAATAGCATGATAAAGTAAGGCAAGCAAGCATAGCTGGCATAAGCCGTCGTACTCTCACAATGGTCACCTGCGCGTTGCTTACGTGGCGTCTGTGTCAGAACATATAGCTTGTGCTTATTGTGTAGGCTATAGTGGGGTAGCCCATAAGGGGTACAACCCAATTAGGGTTAGTACTTGTACTCAGTTCATTCATAGTTCATTCCATTCTCGTTCAACTTTTCTCAGTCTGAGGCCAACACTGCTGATATCTTTACCAAGGCACTTCCGCCTGGTGATCATCATCGCTTCTGTACTATGCTAGGTCTTGTGCCTACTTGGCCTCACTTGCTCACTTCTTGACCTTGCTTGTACTGTCATCTTTCTATACCTACACTTGCCTGTTTACCTTTATATATGATCTTGCATGTGAACTGGCCTTGTGGCCTTGCTCTTGTGCTCGGATTGTGTGGTGACGTTGTGATCCACCCTGAGCTTGCTTTGCTTTGGTTGACTGGTCTTGTGACCTCTTGTTCTCCCCCACTTTGCCTATGGGGGTGTGTCAAACTCATATCATATAGCTTGTCTAGGCTATAGTGGGGTAGACACTATGGGGTACAGTTTCCTAGGGTTTCCTACTTGTACCCAACCTTGTGCTAGTTCATTCATTCCTCGTTTCTTCACACAGTGATCATCAGTGACCGAGACACGAAATTCACCAGCAACTTCAGGCGGAAGCTATGGCAGCAGTTCGGCACGCTACTATAGTTCAGTTCTTCGTACAGACAGACAGACAGAAAGAACAAATCAGACCATGGAGCAAATCATCCGAGCCACGTGCGACGACCCAACCACCTGGGAACAGCAGCTGCCACTCATCGAGTTCGCGTACAACAACTCACCTTCCGCCACGTCCCAACAGTCACCATTTTTCCTGAATTACGGACAAGACCCAACAGTACCCATGACCCCGAATCCTGACAACACAGTGCCACGAGCGCAACAGTTTGCCGAAATTTTACAAGCAGCACGGACCCGGGCAGCAAACGCAATTATGAAATCGAACATCATCGCTAAACGCAACGCCGACCGCCACCGCCGACCTGTCACTTACTAGACCGACAACCTAGTCTTACTCGACACCCAGAACCTCCGCCTACCCATTACTCCAAAACTCCGCCCTTGATATTGTGGGCCATTCCGCATCAGCCACATGATCACACCCGTCACCGCCCATCTCCTCCTCCCTGCTGACTAGTACGTCAGCCCGTCCTTCCACGTCAGCCTGCTCCGCCCCTACGTACCATCCAGCGAACTGCCCCGCAACCGCCCAGCCAGCATGACACAACCGCCGACCGAGCCAATCATCACACCCGAGAAAATTCTGAGCCACAGAGTTCGTGACGCACAAGGAGCTGGACGGATCGAATTCCTGATCCGCTGGAGGGACCGTACACCCACGGAAGACAAGTGGGTTCCCCTGGACAGAATCGAAAACCACCCTGTCCTCACTGAGTACCTGCGCAGCCGAAATTTCCGGGATGTACACGCTTTTTCGTAACGAGGGCCTCCTTAGGGGGGGTGGGTAATGTAAGGAAAAATTCCTTTTCCTTACTTCGTGTCCCTGCTCAGCACGTACACCACTGTAGCACCACAATCAACACCGTTACCACTCGCAACCCTCGCATCGACAATCCTCCCGCCACTGTCGCGCGTCGCACCCTGACCTCACGGCTTGGCGGGTAACCCGCGCTCCGGGCCTCCGCCTCGACATTTTCCCAACCTCAGTCCCAGGCCCGTCGTGTCAGAGGTCCACTGGTGATCCCCGATTGATCCTAGGGAAGGGTTATAGGCTCGTTGCCCTGGGGGGTTATGGGCGCACTTACCCGCTACTTAACAAGCCCTTTTATCCCAATGGTCTAGTGGTTGGGATTCTGACATGGTATCGGAGCGAATGTCTCGGGTTCGAATCCCGGTGTGTGCACCTCGGGCATCCCAGTGCGGGGGGGTGTCAGAGGTCCACTGGTGATGCCCGATTGATCCTAGGGAAGGGTTACAGGCTCGTTGTCCTGGGGGGTTATGGGCGCACTGACCCGCTACTTGACAAGCCCTTTTATCCCAATGGTCTAGTGGTTGGGATTCTGACACGTCGCGCGTCACCCACAGCTCATTACCGTTACCACTGTAGTTTCACTATATATTCTTCGCTCATACCTTCACTCATTGTACTCTTGCTTCGATAGTGCAATTCTGTTTCAATCACTCAATTGCACTCGTAACAATGTTCAAGAATTTGAATTTGCATGATCGGCTCAGCTCACACTTGGCACACCCATATTTGGCCTTGTTCTGCAGGCGCATCAGGCCGCATCCGGCCGCATCAATGTACGTTGATGCAATTTTCCGGGGTTCAGCCCTCCGTAAATTCCCTCTGTTGTGGAGATCGTAAATTGATGAGAGCTAAGTTCAGAGCAAAACTTGTTCTAATAAAGCACTTAACTTACACAGGACCCCACGAAGCACGTCTGGGCGTTCACCTTCCCATGCCGCCGTATCTTTTTGCTCTTTCGGTAAGTGTAGTTTTGAAGGTGCCAGGTGTTGGGCAATTTAGTAGAGGTCTTACAACTGGAAAGTAGACTTTCTAATTTGCACGGATCTGGCCAGAGAACCCTACACAACGGAACAATTTACAGCCCAACCAGGTTCACCTCGTACAATAATCAAAGAATCAGTTGCCAGGCTGTAATTTGGGGGGGGAGAGGGGGGGGGGGGAAGGGTGGGTCCCAGAGATAATCCGCACTGGGTATATTCAAGGAATCGAAATCAGGACCTAGGTTTGATAGAGGTGGCATCTGAAGAGGACAGACAGTTGGGGTAGGTGGGTGCAGCCACCAGGTTGGTAATAATGAAGAAGAAAAGAAAAGAAAAGAGAAAGGGAGAAGGAAAGTGAAACCGCCAAGAAGAACCCAAATGCAACACACATAAAACCCCCCCTCAAGATACCCAATCAAAACGCCCAGTCAAGACACCCTGTCAAGACATCCCATCCCACACCCCATTCCCCCCCCCCCCCAATCACAACAGCGAATCCACCATGTACGGGGCCTCCACCCAGAGAGCCCCGCCTTCCGCATCGCCATCGTCCCACTCCCGGTCCACCAAGTCAACGTTAATCCCCCCCATAGAAGACGCCGCTCGAAGCAGGATGACACGGGCTTGCGCACGTTGCAACGCCACCCCGATGAGCGCCTTCAGTGACCCTAGAAGATAAGCCGAAAACACAGTGTCGTCCTCCCGACAAGCCCCCCGCGACACAGCTAGCCCCACGTGCGCATCTCCCTGCTGACGAAGCCACCTCCGAAAGCGACCGCCGAGACACCCCCACGTCTCCACTATCAGAGGAGTGAACTGCACGCCCCGGTTGCGTGCAAGCAGAGGCGCGTAATCGCTCGTTTTACGACGCTCCCATTCTCTTGCCGCCACGCCTATTTGACGCCCGCACTGTCCTAGCAAAGATGGAGACAGCGATAGCGGGTCCGCGACGCTGATCTCCAGGGCGTGAGCCTCTCCAGCCATTGGTCGTCGCACCGCCACATCAACCCGCTTCCCCTGCAGCACCACACTATCCTCCATTGTCACCACCCCCCCAGACGCCTTAGAGATCTTCGCCACCGCAAACTTCACCTCATCATGTACCCGAGATGGACCATGCTTGTGCTTGCATCTCAGGGCATGATGCGGGTCTGCTGGGTCAACATATGCTGTGCCACAAACACACCTCCCCGCCACCTGCAGCTGCTGAATTGGGAGCCCGAGCCGTATAGCAGCAGCAATGCCCCACTCCGCCGCAGTGAATGTGAGATCTGAGTGAGCCGGAACCGCCGAAACCCATGCACCAGCCCCCGGGCCCTGAAGGGATGTGAAACGGGCCAGGGTGGCATCGTCACGAGCCGAGCGACGCAGTGTCTGGAGCTCCTCTACCGCCAACAACCGCTGCCGCGCCTAGAAAAGCCGAAGAGGAGGGGCCGCTACGCACAGAGGTAAGCCCGGCATCTCCTGGCGTATAGTCGCAGGCAGCTGCTCAAGAGCCTTGGCAAACCACGGGTCAAGAAACTCCGCCCCTGCCGAAGTGGTGAGGTACTCCGCAAACATTGCCTCCTCGCCCGCCACCCCCAACTGTGCAATATCACGCGCGGCCTGCGCCCACCCACAAACATAGGACAGCGGACTCAAAGAGGCTGCTGCCCGGATCCCAAACCCTCCGAGTCGCACAGGGAGATGCAGCTGCATGCGCGCGCGTCTAGACCGGTCGGGGTCATGCTCCCAAGTGCCAGGTGGGAAAAGCTGCTCAAAGCAATCCTCCAGACAGCTATCCCAATCCCTGAAGGCCTCCACCACCTCCGGACGCGGCGGCATAGTCCGGGCCAGGTACATCGGCCGTGCTGAAATTGCAATGGCGAGGAGATGTGAAGCCATCTGGGGGTGGTCGAGCACTGGGTATATTTGTAAGATATACTGGAAGAAACACCCTGCAAAGAAGGGCTGTGATGGCCAGTTTGATGAAAATGCGGTGGGAGAAGAGAGGGGAGGGGAGGGTAGAGAAACGAACGCACACGCACATTTGAGAGTTTGTTCAACCTCATTGCCTCAGGGCGGATGACTTGATGTCAGACACGAGCTAGGGCGTGTTACATTGTTCATTATTTTCGTCCGGATGGCCAGCCGTCCGGACGATTGTGTGGTTACGGAACTCGTTGAATCTCAATAGTGAGTTCGACAGGGTATAAACGACGTCGCATTCGTCGTACTGCCTCCTTATGACATCGTATTGGTCGCAACGTGACCGTGCGACGTCGCATTATTCGCACGTGTCCGGACAGCCGTCCGGACTTTCAGCAACTTTAAAAAATGTAACACGCCCTGATATGCTCTACCTCCTCCACAGCTCCATGCCAAACCTGCTAGTCATGAGTTACATCCCGTCTCGTTTGCTTGTTTTTAAAGCCAGGGGTCTCATGTGGGAGCCCTCGACTGCAAAGCACTTGAAGCTAGGTAACCAAGTTAGTGCTGGTGAAGTTGACTCTGGTTGGGTTGGAAACTCAGCTCGCGTCACTGCCCCAAAAGCAATTGCACAACACTTTTCGGTACTCGTGCTTCTCTTGTGACTCGCCGGCGTCTTGTAGTCAATACGCAGGCGCCTGACCTAACTTTCTACAATCTCGTGGTTTCCGGCTCGCACCTCGTCAACCGCCGTTCGCGGTACTCCCACATGAAAATAGTCTGAAAATTTTCTATCTAGTACGCCAGCCTGAACCCTCAGATTTTCGTCACGTCAGAGCGACAAAATCCAGTCTCCTGGTTCGTCGTCATCATGAAGCGCGGTGACCGTTGTCGTCTGCTGTCTCTCCCGGACGAGATTCTCGAGTCCATCCTCAGCACCGTCACGCACCCATCCGACCGCTGCAACGTCGCTCTCGTCTGCTCTCGCCTCCGCCGCATCTCGCGCCGCACGCCCCACACGCTCCTACTCAAGTTCATGACTTATCAACGCTGGCGCTTTAAAGTCCGGGATTGGTTGGGCGAGTTCGACATTAAGTCGAGGGCATTTCCCCGCATTACCAGTCTCACCGTCCACCTGTCGTCCTGCCTGCGAGACTACCTACTGGCGGGTATTGGCGCCACGTGCGGGCAGCTGAAAGAGTTAAAGCTGTTGACGGTGGATTGGGCGAGTTTTGATGCCACTGCTAGTGGGTGGCGGTCGCTTGCTCGCCAATGCCCGTGAGTGGCCTGCACTGGGGACCTGCTAACGTTCTATCTCTCTCTCTCGTCCCGCTCCCCTTTCGGGTGAAATAAGACGAGTTTTGAGGTGCCCCGAAACTCATCCCGGTCCCCTTCAGTCGTTTCCTCCGCCTCGTTACAGTCACTTCAGCAAACCCCTTATCACTACCAGCACTCTTTCGTTGCACGCCTCGTCTCATCAACTCAACGCCCCCCGCCCCGGTCTCTCCCTTGTCCCCGCCATCTTGAGATGGACCCTCATTACAGCCATCTGACCCATCTCGAGCTCAACTCCCGGTTCGCCCGCGATTCATCGTATCAGCGCTACAAAGACAGGCCCGCGCTGCCGCCTCTCCACGCCTTCCCCTCGCTCCGCGCCGTCACCCTCGGCGTCCACCCAAAGGAAATCTCCCCCCTCCTCCGTTGCTCCGCGCTCACCTCTCTCTCGCTCTGGCAACCCACCGGCGGCCACCTTGCTTGCCTCGCATCCCCCTCCTCCTCCTTCTGCTCGTCTCTCCAATCCCTCACCATTCAATCTGCCAACCTAACCAACTACCTCCCCCGCATCTCCTCGTTCACCCACCTCTCCTCTCTCTCCCTCCACTCCTGCACGTACAATCCTGGCGAGCTTCTCTCCCTCTCGCGCTCCCTCAACTCCCTTACCCACCTCACAATTGACGATTGCCCGCTGGCCTGCTGCCGTGCTGTGGCAGCAATGGTTCGAGCCAACCCCTCCCTCTCCAGCCTCTCTCTCTCCGGCAGCTCCTACCGTCTCTTCAGTTCCAAGCCCCTCTCAGCCGTGCTTCGTCTGTCCTCCCGTAAGCTGCAGACGCTCACGCTTTCGGGTCTGCCGTCGTTCCGCCCGGGTATGCTTGCAGGGTGCAGCAGCCTTGAGTCGCTCACTCTCGAACGAGGAGAGGGGTCGTGGGAAGAGCTGTTGGGCATGTTCGTGCGGGTAGTCGAGGCGAAAGGAGGTACTGAAAGAGGTTCGGATACGTCCGTGGGAGCAAGTGCGGGAGTGGGTGCGGATACGCCTGCAGCTGCTCCTGCAGCAGTGCCGGAAGGGAGGATCAAGGGAACCCGGCGCACTTACGTTGATATCCGCGCAGCAGCAGAATCGGCGCGCGCGGACGCGGCCGCAACATGGGGGGACTTGCGGCGGCTGCTCAAGGCGGCCGGGGACCTCACGTGCTCCGCGCACTCCGAAGCAGAGTCCGCGCGCCGACTCCACTTGCTGCGCGGAGTCAAGCCCGCGATTCAAATGGTTATGAGCGCGCTTTCCGCCTGCCAGGCCGGGTCTACCGCCGCGTGGGACGCGGACGTTGCAAGGGAGAGGGCGCGCGCTGTGAAACGCGTCTCTGCTGCTGCTGCTGCTGCCGGCGCGACGGGAGCTTTCTCGGCGGAGATTTACAGCGAGGAGGAAGAGGGAGAGGGAGGGGGAAAGTGCGAGGGCGAGGGAGAGGGCGAGGGAGAGGGAGAGGGAGACGCGGGGTTGGGAGGAGACGTGGTGACTTTTTCCGATGAGGAGTATCGCGCGGGGGCCACCCCGGATGCGATTCACAGCTTCATGTGGGAGCAGGATCCCAGTGACGGCATGCCCGAGGCCTCGCGGGAAGAGCTGCTGGCGATGCTGAATGCTCTGTCGGGGCAGCTGCGCCCGCGTCTCACGGCCATGCATGAGAACGTGGAGTTGGTGCTTGCGGGGGAGAATGTCGAGGGCGGGGCAGCTGCGGCACTAGCAGCCGCGGCTGGGGCGGCAGCAGCGGCGGGTGGGGCGGCCGCAGCAACAGCAGGTGGGGCGGCAGCAGCAGCGGGTGGGGCGGCAGCAGCAGCGGGTGGGGCGGCAGCAGCAGCGGGTGGGGCGGCAGCAGCAGCGGGTGGGGCGGCAGCAGCAGCGGGTGGGGCGGCAGCAGCAGCGGGTGGGGCGGCAGCAGCAGCGGGTGGGGTGGCAGCAGCAGCGGGTGGGGCGGCAACAGCAGCGGGTGGGGCGGCAGCAGCAGCGGGTGGGGCGGCAGCAGCAGCGGGTGGGGCAGCAGCAGCAGCGGGTGGGGTGGTAGCAGCAGCAGGTGGAGCGGCAGCAGCAGTGGGTGGGGCGGCAGCAGCAGCGAGCGAAGCGGCAGGGGGTTCCCCAGGCGGGGAGCTACAGGTGGAAGCTTCACAGGGGCAGGGCGTGCAAGAGAGAGTGCAGAGAGAGGGAGTGCAAGAGGAGGGTGCACAACGGGAGAATTTTCTCGAACAGAGGAGTCAAGAAGGTTCAGGCAGCAGCAGGCTAGCAGCAGCTAAGGCGCATCTAGAATTTGAAAGGGCCACGCCAGTGGAAGTGGTCTGCCCTTGCCTGGCCTCTCTGGTCCTCGAAGACATTCAGTTTATCCCTCTCTCTGAGCCTGCTTCTGAAAGTCTTCCCTCTACATGCCCCCTCCTGGTTCCAGTTTCCCGTACTCCTCCCTGCTCCAAGTTTCGCCCCTCAACCTCCGTATCCTTCCCTGGTTCCACCATAAGTGCTTCTCCCGGTCAGCAGCAGCAGCAGCACCCGTTTGAAAGCATTGCCCTGGCGGCTGTGTTTGGCGGGCTGCGGCGGTTGGCAGTGGTGCAGTGCGGTGGGGTGGGGGAGGAGCAGCTGAGGGCAGTGCTGCGTGCATGCCAGGTGTTGGTGGAGCTGAGAGTAGAGCACTGCCACGCCATGTCCAATAAAGTGCTGCTCTCATGCCCAATCGACACTCTCACTCATGCCACACTCATTGCTTGCAACGGGGTCACGTCTGCTGGGGTGATCGGGTTGCTGGGAAGTTTCCCAAGGCTGAGGCAGTTGAAGGTGGAAGCGGGTAAGGTTCCTGAACGGGCTCGGAGGAAGTTGCTGCGTGCTGGTGTGGTCGTCAGGGGGGTGTGAGAGAGAAGCAAGCTCGTGACACCAAGTTTGGATGAGTCGTTTTGATGTTTCATTCCATAGCATGTGTATGAATTTTGTAACTATGTTATTATCCATGAATTAATGGCACAATGATATGAAATAGCCACGTTTGCATTGAGGTCCCCATTTTGTTACAAACGGGGACCGCTAATACCACAGACGACGAACCTTGTACAGTGTCACATTTTTCGCCAAGATTGCATGTTCAAGAATTCGAATTCCGAAATTGACACGCACATACCCCACGGGGCGCGTGAATGCTCCGTCAGTGGAGTGCGCACAAGGCGAGGGACAGAACAACTCCAAGGGAATGGCAGTGAATTTGAGAAGAGACAGGTAGAAAGGTGGGGGTGGGGAGCGGCAGAAAGAAACGGTGACCCAAGCGCACCCCAGCCATCCCTCTTTACCATTTCTCCACAACTCCACATTACAAGCTGCTTCTTATGACTTCCTTCCGTCTCGTTTGCTATTTGTTACGAGTGCAATTGAGTGAACGAACGAGAATTGCACTATCGAAGCAAGAATCCAAATGAGCGAAGGCATGAGCGAACATTATATAGCGAAACTACCGTGGTAACGGTAATGGTCGCGCGACGAGCCTGGGACTGAGGTTGGGAAAGTGTCGAAGCGTAGGTCCGGAGCGCGGGTTACCAGCCGAGCCGTGAGGTCGGGATGCGATGTGCGAAAAGGGCGGGATGATGAATGATGCGATGGTCGCGAGTGGTAACGGTGCTGACTGAGGTGCTACAGTGATGTACGCGTTGAGCAGGGACGCGAAGTAAGGAAAAGGGAATTTCCTAACACTACCCCCCCCCCCCCCCCCTCCTAAGGAGGTCCTCCTTATGAAAGCGCGTGGATGTCTCGGAAATTGCGGCTACGCAGGTAGTCGGTGACGACGGGGTGATTTTCAACTTTCTCCAGGGGAACCCAATTGTCCTCGGTGGGGGTACGATCTTTCCAGCGGATCAGAAACTCCACTTTTCGGGCTCCTCGAGGGTCGCGAACTCTGTGGCTCAGGATCTTGTCGGGGGTGATGACTGGTTCGGTTGGTGGTCGTGTCATGCTGGTGGGTCGATGTCGTGGGAGTTGGCTGGTGGATGGCACGTAAGGGCGAAGTAAGCTGACGTGGAACGAGGGGCTGACGTACCAGTCAGCAGGGAGGAGGAGGTGCGCGGTGACTGGCGTAACCATGTGACTGATTCGAAATGGCCCACAGTATCGAGGGCGGAGTTTTGGAGTGATGGGCAGGCGGAGGTTCTGAGTGTCGAGTAAAACGAGGTCGTCGGGCTGATAAGTAACGGGTCTGCGATGGCGATCGGCGTTGCGTTTAGCGATGATGTTTGATTTTTTGATTGCTTCTGTTGCCCTGGTCCGTGCTGCTTGCAGAATCTCGGCGAACTGTTGTGCTCGTGGGACGGGGTTGTCGGGATTCGGTGTCATGGGTACTGTTGGGTCCTGTCCGTAATTCAAGTAAAACGGCGACTGTTGCGTCGTGGCTGATGGTGCGTTATTGTATGCGAACTCGATGAGTGGCAGCTGCTGTTCCCACGTATTCGGATCGTCGCACGTGGCTCGAATCAGGTGCTCCATGGTCTGATTTGTCCGTTCCGTCTGTCCGTCGGTTTCGGGGTGATAGGATGAACTGAACTGTAAGCGCGTGCCGAACTGCTGCCACAGGTTCTGCCAGAAGTTGCTTGTAAATTTCGTGTCTCTGTCGCTGATGATCGATGCGGGTATCCCGTGGAGTCGAACGACGGTGGTGATGAAGAGTCGGGCAGTTTCCTCGGCTGTGATTGATTTCCTGCATGCTGCGAAATGAGCCATCTTCGTTAGTCGATCGACGACGACCAGGATCGCGTCATTCCCACTCGCCCCAGCTGGTAACCCCGTAACGAAATCCATCGTCACCTGCTGCCAAGCACGCTCTGGGGGCGGGATGGGTTGTAATTGTCCCGCCGGCCGCTTCCTGCTTGACTTCATGAGCTGGCAAGTGGGGCACGATGCCACGTGTCGTTGCACAACGGTCAACATTTCTGGCCAGTAGTAGTACCGCTGCAGCTGCTGCCGTGTTTTTTCTACCCCGAAATGTCCCGAGGTAACTCCGTCGTGTGCCTCCTGTAACAGTAGTTCCCGCAGTAGCGTGTATCCTGGTACCCAGATGCAGTCGGTTCCAGCTTTTACGTAATAGACTCCTTTTGCCGCTGCGAATTGCTGTGAGTTGCCTCCTGTAAAGAACGGGTCTGTTTGATATCCGTGGGTAAATAGGCCTGTCAGTAGCGGGCTGGTCTGGGCGAGTAGTATCGCGTGGATCTGGGCAGTGGGGCGGGTCAGTGCGTCGGCGATATTCGAGGCTCCTTTTTTGTATGTGACCGTATAGTGAAAATTCGACTCGAGGAAATCGAGCCATCGAATCTGTCGTGGGTTGAGGTGGGGCTGTGCACGGAGGTACTGTAGAGATCGATGGTCTGTCCGTACTGTCACGTCTGCGCCGGTCAAGTAGCAGCGCCACACTTTGAATGCGTGCACGATTGCGAGCATTTCGCGGTCGTGTATCGGGTAATTTCGCTCAGGCGGATGTAGTTTGCGTGATTCGTAGGCGATGGGTTGGAGGCCGTCGCCGAAGTCCTGTAACAGTACAGCTCCGATGGCGATGTCACTTGCGTCGGTAACCACTTCGAAAGGGCGGTGGGGATCAGCGATGCGTAGAACGGGTGGTGAACAGAGAACGTTTTTCAGGGCAGAGAAGGCAGCATGCTCTTTCTCTCCCCACGTAAAAGCGACCCCCTTACGCAGTAAATCAGTGAGTGGGGCTGTTAAACGTGCCATGTCGGGCACGAACCGTCGAACGTAATTAACAAAACCTAAAAAACTCTGCAGTTCCGTGATGTTCGTCGGGGGGCGCCACGCTTTTACCGTATCCAGCTTCTTTGGGTCAATCTCAACCCCAGCCTCCGAAATGACGTGACCCAAAAACTCTAGTCTGTCCCGAAAAAACTCGCACTTGGAGCCCTTGGTGAGTAGCCGATGTTCCTCCAAAACCTTAAAAACTGCTTCAAGATCCACTAAGTGCTGCTGCTTATCCCGGCTGTAAACTAGAATATCGTCCAGGTAAACTATCACGCATTTATCTAAAAGTGGTCTAAACACCTCGTTCATGGTCATCTGAAATGTCGCAGGCGCGTTCGTCAGCCCGAATGGCATTACTGTATACTCGAATGACCCGTACCTAGTCCTAAATGCTGTTTTGGCGCAGTCCGATGGTTCGACCCGAATCTGATGGTAACCTCCCCGTAAGTCGATTTTCGAAAATACTCGTGCTGTTCGCAGTTGGTCGATCAGTTCGTCGGCGCGGGGGATGGGGTATCGCGATTTGACTGTTACCCTGTTAAGCGCTCGGTAGTCGATGCACATGCGGAACCCTCCGTCTTTTTTCGGTGTGAACAGTATCGGTGCGGCGAACGGTGACGAGCTCGGTCGGATAAACTGCTTCTCTAACAGGTAATCTAACTGCTTCCTTAACTCGTCGAGCTCGGGATGTGTCAGTCGAAATTGCCGCTGTACAGTTGGCTGTGCCCCCGGTTCTAAGTCGATCCTATGGTCGTGCGCCCGTTGAGGTGGCAATCCCTGTGGTAAATCATCCGGAAATATCCCCGGGAACTGTTTCAGTAGTGCCTGTAGTTCGGTCGGTACAGTTGCCAGCAGTTTCTCCAAATCACTCGGCTGTTCATCTTTTTCTACGAGTGCGATATCCACTGCGTACACGTCAGCTCCAGCAGCGACAGCCCGTTTCATCGTGATGGCGTTGACCTGGACCGTCGAAGATTTGGGTGGCTGCCAGCGAGGTAGAACGACCCAGTGTCAGATTTATATGACATAGTTGCTGTAGGCTATAGTGGGGTAGCACATATGGGGTACAGGGTTTCTAGGGTTGTATTTGTACCCAATCTTTCCTTAGTCATTCTCATTCCTGTTTTCCTTGCTTCACATGGTATAGAGCGGGTCCTGCCTTAGGACCGTTTTTTTTAGGGCCCACCGAAGCGCGCCCCGAGGCGCGCCCTTTTTTTTTAGCGACCCCTCGGGTCGCCTTTTCCCTCGCGGCCCCGCTGTCCCTCAGACGCGGCCCCGCCACCTCTCCTGATCGCGGCCCCGCCGCCTGCTTGACGCGGCCCCGCCGCCTCCCCTGACGCGGCCCCGCCGCCTCCCCTGACGCGGCCCCGCCGCCTCCCCTGACGCGGCCCCGCCTCTACTGCCGCGGCCCCGCCGCCGCCTCTGACGGCCCCGCCGCTGCACCCTACGGCCCGCCGCTGCTCCTGCCGGCCCGCCGCCTCACCTGACGGCCCCGCCGCTGCTCCTGCCGGCCCGCCGCTGCTCCTGCCGGCCCGCCGCTGCACCTGCCGGCCCGCCGCTGCACCCAGCGGCCCGCCGCCTCTGACGGCCCCGCCGCTGCACCCTACGGCCCGCCGCTACTCCTGCCGGCCCGCCGCCTCACCTGACGGCCCCGCCGCTGCACCTGCCGGCCCGCCGCTGCACCCTACGGCCCGCCGCTGCACCCTACGGCCCGCCGCCTGCACCTGCCGGCCCGCCGCTGCACCTGCCGGCCCGCCGCTGCACCTGCCGGCCCGCCGCTGCACCTGCCGGCCCGCCACTGCACCGGTCGACCCGCCGCTGCACCTGACGGCCCCGCCCCTGCATCTCCCGGCCGAGCCGCCCCAGCAGCCGAGCCACCCGGGACCCGAGCCGCCCTGCCGCCGAGCCGCCCGGGAGCCGAGCCGCCCTGCACCCGAGCCGCCCAGCCGCTGAGCCGCCCGGGAGCCGAGCCGCCCTGCGCCCGAGCCGCCCAGCCGCCGAGCCGCCCGGGAGCCGAGCCGCTGTGCACCCGAGCCGCCCGGTCGCTGAGCCGCCTTTCTGCGTAGCTGCACGACCTGCCCTCCCTGGTGAGCACAGTCCCACTGACACTGCGAGCTCTTTCCCTACTGCTT